TTCCACAATAGCAATCCAGACAAGCACAAAAACATTTCAGGGTTTTCTAATTTTTTAATTAAAAAAATTATTTTAAATTGCGCATAACATAATAGTAACCATCTTAACTAGTTTTAAGTGTACAGTTCAGTGTCTTTAAGTACATCTACATTGTTGTATGACAATCATCAAAACCACCCTCTTCTAAAACTCTTCGTCTTGCAAAACTGAAACTCTGTACCCATTAAGCAATAACTCCCTACTCCACCCTCCTCCCAGTTCCTAGCAATCACCATCTACTTTCTTTCTCTATGAATTTGGACTCTCTGGGTATGTCATAGAAGTAGATTCATGCAGTTTTTGTCCTTTTGTGAACTGGTTTGTTTCACTTACCATAATGTCCTAAAGGCTCATGCCTAAAGGCATGAATCAGAATTTCCTTCCTCTTTAAAGCTGAAAAATATCCCATTTTGTATATATACCCCAGTTTGTTTATCCATTCATCTGTCGATGGACACCTGAACTTTACTTACTTTTTGGCTCTTCTGAATAATTATACTGTGAGTGCAGGTGTACAGATATCTGTTTGAGTCCCTGCTTTCAATTCTTGGGAGATTATACCCAGAAGTGGAATTACTGGATCTTATGGTAATTCTAATTAAAAAAAAAAAACTGCAATACTATTTTTCATAGCATTTGTACCATTTTAAATTCCCACTGGGTAACTTTCTTTTTATTTTCTTTATTTTCCTTCTGTGGGCTAGGCACAATGACCTTCTTTGATATCTCCGTATACGAAGCGCATCCTTGCTGCAGGGGCTTTGTAGCAGTCATTCCCTCTTCTTGTAAAGTTTTCCACCCTGGTATTTGCTTGACTGACTCTTTCTGATCATTCACCTTAGACTCTACCAGGAATACCTTCCTTGAGTCAGTGTCAGTTACTATTCTATCAGCATGGCACTTACAAAATCTTCTGATTTCCTTGTTTGTTTCTTCTTTCCTCTTATTTTATTGGTTTTACTTCCCCAAAAAACTATGTCCCCAGTACTTAGAACTATGACTGGCACATAGGAGATGTACAGTAATTGTTGAAATGTCATGGGGATTAATATGGTAAATTTCCTAATGTGCTATATGTGAATACTACTCATTAGTGGAAATTGGTCGTCACTCAAAACATCATAACTATTCTTTTTTTTTAAATTTTGTTAATGTTTATTTTTAAAAGAGAGAGAGCATGAGTGGAGGAGGAGCAGAAAGAGAGAGACACACAGAATCCAAAGCAGGCTCTAGGCTCTGAGCTATCAGCACAGAGCCCAACACGGGGCTCAAACCCAAGAACCGTGAAATCATGTCCTGAGCTGAAGTTGGACGCTTAACTGACTGAGCCATCCAGGCACACTGCACCCAACCCCCCAAAATAATAACTCTTCTTTAGGAACAAATTAAACCAAGATAGGATCCATAATTCCAGAGTATAACCAAGAATGGCCGTTGACCTAGTTACTCTGATAATTCAGATTTCAGTAGAAATTTGAGGTTCATTAATTTGGATATTTCAGGCAAAATGTGTTCTTTGGTTTCAAATTATTTAAATAATTACCTTAATACTTCTCCATGCTTTATATACTCAATATTGTCCTAGAGGTACTTGTAAAATCTTTCATGTACTTCTGAGTAGTGAATTTCAGTTTCAGCCTTCAAACCGAGAGGTCTCATGTCACATACTTTCATGGCAAATTTTCTGAATTGATGTTTTATAGTTCATTCCAATAGTAACCATTTTCCTAATCCATAAGGTCATCTATGTTAGAGAAAACTGATTCAGGTAGCATAAAAGGAAAATGTCATTTCTGTTTTCATATTAAGAAGTGAGTAGGTGGGTACAAAGGGGCTATTCTGGATTACGAATCTCTTAGCACAGTTATCTTTATGATGAGGCCATATATTATAAATGGGTTATGTCTCACACTGCCTTGATAGGCAACTTTTCTTATGGCCCTATGATCTTAAGGGTAGTAAAGCGCATTAAGTATTTAGAGGGGGAGCCAACATGTATTCTTATGTATATACACCCTTAGTTTTTATCATGTTAAAATTGTTCCCAGTTTGGATCTAGGATTAAAATTCCTTTCATACAGTGAAAAACAAACAAACAAACAAACAAAAAAGACAAGTCCTGTGTACCAAGAGCCCCTCTTCATCAAGAGCCAGTTTGTACACTCATTACCATAGCCCCTTTATAACACTCCAAGATATGTACTTCTGTGGGTATGAACCTTACTAACCTGCAAGGGAACTACTCTATGGTTTGCAGAAAGATGGAGAAAGTTATTGTTTTGAAACATTTTAAATATTTTTTTTTCCTTTTATTCTAAAAGATGTTGAGTATCGTCATTAAAATCATTAGGTTTTCATATTGTCTTTAAAAAGTCATAGCACTGAATTCATTTTCTAAATGTAAGGTTAGGCAGATTGTCTTGCTGTTTTCAATAATGACTGCAAAACCTCAAAAGTGTTAAATAATTCTTTGTAGAACCCATTACATTTCGAGGACACTGGACAGCCTCTGTGGCAATAGAGTTGAAAAGTATTAATCCATTCCTTTTATGTCTTTTATTACTTTTACTTAGGGTTTCTAGTGGAAAGTCCCTTACATTGTGTTTCTGTTGTTAAGGTTTATGTCCATGTTTTGAGATAATTTTTTTATGACACCCTTGCATATTATGTCACAGGCTTCCTCAGAGCAGACAAATAAAACTTCTTCCCTTTCTGTCACAAATGGGCATCTTTGGGCAGGGTGGGGGCTAGAGGGGTGGGGGAGCTCCTTTAGAAAATGCTGCTGATGTAACATCTTTAGGATGTAGCATCTTTTAAAAAGCTGTTATTATGGGACCTGCTTTAAAAACTTTTAAAGGACATGTTCCCATATATCACTTAAGCTAGAAGTATGCATGTTGAAAGTGGATAAAGTTGGTAATAGAGATTATATCACCTTTTGCTATTACATCAAGGAAACAAATATGTTGTAACATTACCTGTAATCATTAAATCATTTTGCATAATCTGACATTTGTTACCTTTGGAGATTACCAGTTAAGAAAGAAATAATGGGGGCTCCTGTGTGGGTCAGTCGGTTAAGCGTCCAACTTCAGCTCAGGTCATGATCTCACAGTTCATGGGTTCAAGCCCCATGTCAGGCTCTGTGCTGACAGCTCAAAGCCTGGAGCCTGCTTCAGATTCTGTGTCTCCCTCTCTCTCTCTCTCTCTCTCTCTCTCTCTCTCTCTCTCTCTCTGCACCTCCCTTGGTTTCACTCTGTCTCTCTTTCTCTGAAAAATGAATAAAAACATTATTAAAAAAAAAGAATGAATGAATGAACACAAATAGTTTGAATAAAGTTCGAATCACTAATATTTTGAGTACCCATTAATTGCCAGAAACTGTGCTAAGCACTTAATGGACTATTAAAGTTTAGATGGGCACATTCTTGCTTAAATTTCTTCCCAGAATACTTACATAATTTTCAAAAAATAGGCTACATATGCCTGTATTAACCCTATCAAAATATTTATCATGGTATATTATAACTGCCTTTTTACTTGTCTTTCCCATTAAACTGTGAACTCCAAGAGTATATGTTTTATGTTTGCCATATTCACTCTTGACCTGTATCCTGATCATCATGGGATACCTTGACCCGTTCCCCCAACATAGTAGGTGCTCATAAATATTTATTAGTTGAATGATGAGAATCATCCAGAAAATGCATCATTTCTTTAACCATGGGACCAAAGGGAAGAAAGATAATGTAAAAGTCAGCATGCTAATTTATTAATTTTCAACACACAATCCCCTTCAGAGAAAATTTATGTCAGGGTAGCACGTACATTTACTCCCTAACAGCTAACATGAGTTGGTGCTACTCATAATGAGTGCTTTTATACTTTATCTCATTAAATCTTCTCAGCACCCTATGCGAATATTACTATCCTTAGGCTCATTCTGCACATGAGGAAACTGAGGCTTAGGTCTTAAGGTCTCTCTGAGATGGTGAGTATACAGTATAAGTTGGAATTCTTGGGGCGCCTGGGTGGCGCAGTCGGTTAAGCGTCCGACTTCAGCCAGGTCACGACCTCGCGGTCCGTGAGTTCGAGCCCCGCGTCGGGCTCTGGGCTGATGGCTCAGAGCCTGGAGCCTGTTTCCGATTCTGTGTCTCCCTCTCTCTCTGCCCCTCCCCCGTTCATGCTCTGTCTCTCTCTGTCCCAAAAATAAATAAACGTTGAAAAAAAAAAAAAGTTGGAATTCTTATTTTCAGAGCTCAGGCTTTGAAGCAATCAATATTTGGAATGCCACTTTAATTAAAAGGTAATCTCAGAGAAGATAAATAACTTCATGAGGGTGCACAGCTAGGAAGTGACAGAGCCTGGTATTAAATGAAATTTGCACACTCCAAAGTCTGTGTGGCTACCATCTCGGCCACTGTCTCTTTTTCTTCAATAATGAATGCACTTTTCAGAGATGCACTAAATTATGGGTCAGGTACAATCTTAATCATGCTGATTTGCCCTAAACTGTTTCACCTGACATTTTGAGAAAGAACTGCTTGATTTTCCTATTTAGTTAAATGAGAATAAAATAATCCTTGGGCAAGACCATTTTTGACATTTCATTTCCCTTCCTATTGTTCTTACATCCTCTTTGATTTCACCCATTAGTGATGATACCTAAGAAGAATTATATGGGGGGAAAACAGCTGAAAGGGGAAAAAAACCTATTAGAATAAGGATGCCTGATGCTACATGCCTATGGAAGGAACTCAGTGCCCTCTCGTGCTTAAGGAATTCTGTGAAACATGGAAAATGGAATCACACGCTGACACTAGGGAGAACTTGGGCAATAAGTGATGCACTATGTGAGAATTCATGGAATATGGTATTAAGTGTTCTTTAAATGGGAAGGTTTACCATGCTCTATGTTCTATTATGAGACAGGCTGATGTTTACCCCTCTTTGAATTCTAGAGTCTCAAGTCCCTGACCAGCCAAGCTCTCTTCACGTGAGGCCCCAGACCAATTGCATCATCATGAGTTGGACTCCTCCCTTGAACCCCAACATCGTGGTGCGAGGTTACATAATTGGTTATGGCGTTGGGAGCCCTTATGCCGAGACAGTGCGTGTGGATAGTAAACAGCGATATTATTCTATTGAGAGGTTAGGTGAGTAGCAATGTTTTTTATTCTATTAAAGGAAGTAAATGATTTATGTGAAATTATTTTCTTTCTTGGAAACTTGTTCTTCAGAATTTGATTTTAATTTGTAGCACATATTAATTCTTAAAACGAGTCTCTCTCTTTTTCTATCTCCTGTCAGTCTACACACACACACACACACACACACACACACATGTTTGCATGCACACACATGTATACACACACACCGCTGTTTTTCCTCTCTGAGTTTTGCATTGGGGAATTTTATTTAGAGACATTCACAACAGTGGGTGCTCTGCTGTGTACTCTTGTTTATGTGCCAGAGGATACAAAAAGATAATTGTATTAATTTTCTTTTTCCCTGGTCAACAGAAACTTCTAATCTTAATAATTCTTATAAAAAGAAAGTCAACACTTTTTTGTCATTTTTTTTCTCACTAGGAGAATATTCTGTCAAGTTTTCTTTAACACTGAATTATCTAGTCACATTGCCCTCTTGTCCTTTAGTATTTATAGGCAAAACTTTGTGACTATGCCATTATGACCATAAAACAAAAGGTGAAACAAGGAATTTTCTTATTTGTTTCATGTTTATTATTCTGAGAGAGAGAGAGAGAGAGAGAGAGAGAGAGAGAGAGAGAACAAAGCGGGGGAGGGGTAAGGACAGGGAGAGAGAGAATCCCAAGCAGGCTCCACACCATTATCAGGGAGACCAGTTTGGGGCTTGAACTCATAAACCACAAGCTCCTGACCTGAGCTGAAATCAAGAGTCAGATGCTTAACTGACTGAGCCACCCAGGTGCCCCGAAACAAGGAATTTTCAGTCAAGCCTGTAAACTTAGTTGTCAAACTCCTCTCTGCATGCATTCCAACCTCTTATCATCTTCAACCTCATTTGACTAAATACAATACTTGACTTATGACATTTCCTAATCCATTGAAAATTTGTTCATTTAGACAGGGCTGATGTGTAATGAAAGGGTTCACATCCATTTTATATATGATTTTCCATAGTATAATTAGAGATTATATCATTGACAGAGAGAAATCAAAGGAATATATGTCATACATAGGCTGCTAAGAAGTTAAACTAGTCTCATAAAGCACAAAGCAAGTTGATTCTACCTGTTGATTTAACTCCGTATTATTTGCAGTGAAGCACATTGACCTCCTCACTGGGAATATTACCTGATTGGTGGAGGTAGGGGATGCTACTTACTTGTAATTTCTTTCACAAACAGAACATTTGTGATGAGTAACTTGATTTGAATTTAAATACCTTTCCTTGCAGTAGCAAGAAAAGGTTTTCTCACTGCAGGAGGAAAATTACACTGACAGGTTCTCTCTATAATTGCCTCAAACACTAATAAGAAAAGTACCTACTGAAAATCTCCACAATTCTAGGTAGCTCGGCATTTAGAAATAACATTCTCAGTCAGTCCCCGAGTTTGAATGTTAAGGCAATCACACAACATACTCTATGACCGTCAGATCTATGTTGAAGGACTGCCATCTGTCCATTATTCAGTGGGCATCACCTCTGACAGTTGATCATGATGCCACCCAACAGAAGGAGAGATCCCCATGGCCGGTCCCAGGCTCTGCTGCCATGAGAGTGCGGTGCAGTCAGAATGAAGTCATAAAGGAAAACCACATTGTCTTGCTGTATCCCTTTGGTAATGATGTTCTTTTCTACAAGCAGACTTTCCAGGAGTCTCCTAGGCTAGCAAAGTTGAGGCTTTTGGGATCTCTCCAGGCAAATCTCTCCACATGCTTACAAAGGAAACAAGCTCTCGTTGTTTAGAGAGCTAAGAAAACTGTTAAAGATAAAATGGATATGAACCTACCTCAATGATAGATAATCATGTGTTTATTACACTTTAAAGCTTATCTGGAAAAAGATAAGTTACACACATACATTTACACACACATACGCACATACACATGTGGATATATACATAAGTATTTAAGTTCTACCAGCTGATACTTTTCTAATATAGTCCTATGTCTTAACATAAAATAAGAAATAGAAGTGTTATATTCTTATTGTTCAAGTATCTGCATAGTTAAACAGAGAAACTGGTATTTTTTCAACATGTGTATCACTATTTGCCCAGAGTGTATATTAAACATATCTATATCTATATATCCATATCCATATCTATATATCACAAGATGCTATGCAACTAGTCTGCTTCTTTAATGTTTAAAAGAATAAAGCAATCAGTGGTTTCTTTGCAAAGTTTGAATGTGGACTTGAGTGAATCCTTTATCCTCTTAAAAGTTGGAACTTAAGATGTCTGACATAAACTTTGGCTAAATAGTGGAATATATATTTTAAGGACTGTATAACAGTTATACAATTAAAAACGAATTAAAGAAAGTTATAATCTGTTAAAGCATAACGTCAGCTATAACTTCAAGTGTCATGGTTGTATTTTAGACTATAAAAAAGCGATTTGGTTTATAATTGACCAATAAACTTCCTCTTCTCTTTGATAGGAGACCAGAACTTTCAAACAGCATTTTGTTTATCAGGCATAATAATTTAATATTTAGACACCAGGCACTGTGACCTGCTTCAGGACAACAAATATAAGACTGTTTTGAACAACATCTAATGTTGCCTGATTTAAAACAAAGCTTACCTAGTGTAGACATAGAGTTTCATTAGCCAATGTTTGTACTGTTAGATATTTATAATTAATCTTTTGACGTCGTATTTCTTTTAGTTTAAGAGCCCTAAATGCCAGTTTTGATGTATATGCATGGTATAGATTCATAAGATCTGAATTCTAGCCATGTTTGGCAACATTAATTTGAAACCAAGCTCCTCTTTCAAAAACTCACTATTTACCTACTAACCTATTCATCAGTCTATCAATTGATCAATTTACCTACCTCTACATCTTTATGGAGGTATTTGTATGTGTATAAACTGTACATATCTAAAGCGTACAATTTGTTAAGTTTTAAAAGGGCTTTATTGTGACATAACTGACAATAAACTGTGTTTTTCAAATTTCTTCTTTAATTTCTCTCAGTAATATTTTACAGTATTCAGTATAGGAAATCTTGAAAGTTTTTGTTAGATTTAGTCAAAATATATATATTAGGCCAATATCTATATACCTATATATGTATATGTATATGTATATGTATATGTATATGTATATGTATATGTATATGTATATCTATATCTATATCTATATCTATATCTATATCTATATCTATATCTATATGTCTGTGTGTGTTTATTAAATTTAGTCCCTATGTATATGTGTGTATATTAACTATTTTAAATGGGATTGTTCAAGTTCATTTTCTAGCTGTTTGCTGCTAGTATAGGAGAATACAACTGTTTTTAAGCACCAATCTAGTATCCCAAGACATGTTACATTCACATATTAGTTCCACTAGTAGAATGCTCTGGGAATTCCCATGTAAACAAGCATATCATATGTAAGGAGGAACAGCTTTACAGTTAATTTCTGATCTCCTGCCTTTAATTTATTTCTCTCGCTTTCTCTTGGTTAAGATCTTTATTAAAATGTTGAATAGAAATGGAAGCAGGTATTTTTGTCTTGTTCCTGATCTTAGGGGAGGCATGAAATGGGATATTAGCTATAGGTTATTCATAGGTGTCTCATCAGATTGAGGAAGCTTTCTACTTTTCTAGCTTTCTAGGAATTTTTATCATGAATATTTGTTGAATTTTTGTGTAATAGGTTTCTAGCTCTTTTTCCTCCTTTATTATTATTTTTTTAATATGGTGAATTATATTGATTGATTTTTGAAGGGTAGCTAATCTTGAATTTCTCATACAGATCAATGCATGATATATTACCCTTTTCTTATCTTGTTGGATTTGATTTGTTAATATTATTAAGGATTTTTGTGCCTATATTCATGAGATGTATTTGTCTACCCATATTCATTAGATATATTTGTCTATTATATTAATAAGGTATATTTGTATACAATTTTCTTTTCATGTAGTGACTTTATCCATTTTTTTTTTTAATTAAAGTCATACTGGTCTCCTAAAATCAGTTGGACAATTTGTTCTTCTGTCCCTGAAAAAGTGTGTGTAAAATTTATATTACTTATTCCTGGAATATTTGATAGAATTCACTAACAAAACCACCTGGATCCAAGATTTCCTTTTTAAGAAGGCTTTTGATAATGAATTTAGCTTCTTTAACACATATAGATATTTTTGTATTTTGTATTTTTTTCTTGTGTTGATTTTGGTAAGTTACAATTTTCATGACATTTGTCTACTTCATTTTGTCATGTTTGTTGGCATAGAATTGTTCATTCATAATGGTCTTTTATTATCTGCAGTGATAACTGCTGTTTTGTTTATGATGTTGATCATTTATGTCCCCTCTATTTTTTGTGATCAGTCTAGGTAGGGGCTTATCAATTTTGCTGATCTTTGAGGCTTTAACATTACCAATTACTGACTGTCTCCATTTTGTTTCTTTCATATCTGCTTTTACTCTATTTTCCTTCTTGTACTTATTGTACAATTTCTCTCTATTTCTAATTTCTTAAGGTGCGACCTCATGAAGTAGGTTTTTAAAGTTATTTGTGTTCTCTAAGCACCCTTCCCTTACATCCCACAAATGTTGATATGTTATCTCTTCATTATCATTTCGTTAAAAATATTTTCTAATTTCCCTTGATTTATTTTTCCCTTTAGTAAGTGCATTGCTTACTTTTCAAATTTTGTTTTTTCCTAGACATCTTGTTATTATTGATTCATAAATTTCTTTTGAATTTTTTTAATGTTTATTTATTTTTGAGAGACAGAGAGAGACAGAGCATGAGCAGGGGAAGGGCAGAGAGAGGGAGAGGGAAAGGGAGAGAGAGAGAGAGAGAGAGAGAGAGAATCTGAAGCAGGCTCTAGGCTCTGAGCTGTTGGCACAGAGCCTGATGCGGGGCTTGAACTCACAAGCCGTGAGATCATGACCTGAGCCAAAGTTGGACGCTTAACCGAC